CTTGACCATGCATAGAAAATCACATCATTGATCGTCCATTCGACTGGATCTTTCACATGTCAATTAATTGGCACTTGATTCTATAGAATTCCATCTGAATTTTTTTGTTGAGAACCATCTCGTGCATAATTAGATTGAATACGGAAGAACATCGTGTGTGCTGGCAGTTTCCGCGGATATCAAATAATCACCCACGGAAAAACGATGGAGAGTGTCTTGAAAGAGAGATAGACAAGTGCAGTAGGTAGCGATGCACAGTATTGACAGGATCTGATTGATTAGATAGAGAAGAGAAGAGAAAACGGTTACAAAATCCCCCACGCGTTTCCCCAACTTTCATGGACACATCAAACGGAAAAGAAAGAAGAGATACATAAAATATGTCATACCTTCCTCAAAAAATCATTCATACATACACACATCCTGCCGAGTAGCGACTACCTAGTAGCTACTACTTCATCGGCATTCTCGTGATTGATCAATATGACAAACAAAATCCATATTCATATCTAAACTGGTCCCGTACATCCCATTTACCAGCCAGAATTAAATGTAAAACTGCCGTATTCTTTGTGGTGAGCAATATCATTCGTCAGAATCACCTCCACTCTGATCGTTTCGGAGAGGTGCGAGGTGCAACTTTATTAATGAATGAACCCCATTGAATTGAACTCGAACAACCTTGATCTCGCAGAAAAGGACAGCATCAGCATACGGTTCAACCCACTTCTATTAATTCAACATTTAGAAACATCTATTTGCTTAGCATAAATACATGCTAACCTCCACTTCACCTACATTCTTTATACCAACGTGTTGTTCCTTTGAAAACGCTCAGAACTCCTCGATTGTCAGATCTAAAGCCTCAACGACATTTGGCTGCCGTTTTCAACACGGCAGAGTCCATTCGACATGAGTACTTCTTCCATGAAGTCCCCAGACTCGAATGGCTTACGGGAACGAATTAACAATGCTCCTACCGCAAATGAGGATTATATGACAGCCCGTTGCGGTTCCGAGCCACCGTCCGAAGACTTCGAACTCGACAAAGGCAAGAAGACCTTTGGCAGAACGCCGGATGGTACCGGTAAGTGAAGAATTTATTCTGACGATTGCACATGCCAGTATCAGTTAAGAAACTCGAAGCTAACAGGTCTATAGTATTTACAGTGCCCCAGACTCATGATATGGTTTCTCAATTGCTCGATCCTCGACAGCCCAAGAACCTCTCTGATGTAATCGTATTGGTCATACTTGCCCTCCACATATTCGCACTTTATGCGCTTCCTAGTTCACTGAAGAGACCAGTGTTCGCAGTCCTGTTCCTTTTCTGGCGAGGATGCTACAATGTTGGCATTGGATATCTCCTTCACATCCAATCGCACCACAAAAGAATAGTAGCATGGGCAAAGAAATGGAACCTGTTTGAAAACCCAATTACGGGCAAAAATCCTCGACCATGGTTGTACAAATTGATCAAGACTGAACTAGAGACTAAAATCCCAGAAGATTACAAATTTGAGGAAGCTCCCATTGAGTATAATACATGGCTAGTCTTTCGAAGGGTGGTGGATCTCATTCTGATGTGTGATTTCACATCATACTGTCTCTTTGCGATTGCTTGTGGAGGCGCACCATCTGATGAAAGTCTGGTCATGTCAACACTCCGATGGGGTGCAGGAATCATACTCGTTTTATTCAACCTATGGGTTAAGCTTGACGCACATCGAGTCGTAAAAGATTATGCATGGTATTGGGGTGACTTCTTTTACCTCATCGATCAAGAATTGACATTTGATGGTGTTTTCGAAATGGCACCCCATCCAATGTATTCTGTTGGATATGCTGGTTATTATGGGATCTCAATGATGGCTGCAAGCTATAGCGTGCTAGCAATCTCGATCGTTGCACATATGGCTCAGTTCGCATTTCTCCTCGTTGTGGAGAATCCTCACATCGACAAAACATATAATCCTCCACCTCCCAGAAAGCACCAAGATAATCCAACCCCAAGCGACATCGATCATGCAAATGCACTGGCATCAAGTAAAGAGGGTCTTGAATATAGTGTAGATTCATCACCCACACAAACACCTCCACTTAATACTACCCAACCATTAGCCGTCCATAATCTCATGGGATTGGGCAACATTGATCTTTTCCGAATCACAGATGTTTCTATCCTCCTACTCCTAGGTTACGTCTTTCTCATTACTGCTCTCACACCCTCGACTCCAGTTTATCAGGCACTTTTCGTAATCAGTGCTATATTCTGGCGTTTGTGGTACTCGGTGGGTCTCGGAATCATTCTTGATAGACAATCGAACAAAAAGATGTGGACACGACATTTCGTCAAGTATGGTGATAGCACAGAAGAAGCTTGGAGACAATGGAAAGGAATGTACTACTTAAGCATGACAATGTGCTACGCAAGCTTCATTGCCGCAACCTGGAAGATGTACTCAATGCCATCGGATTGGGCCTATGGTCTTGTTTTGTTACGACATGTGCTGGGTGCTGGTTTAGTCTCGCTTCAGCTTTGGACGGCCATTAGTATCTATGAGTCTTTGGGTGAATTTGGATGGTTCTTTGGGGACTTTTTCTTCGACCACGCTCCCAAACTCACATACAGCGGCATTTATCGATACCTTAACAATCCAGAACGTATTATTGGGCTTGCTGGTATCTGGGGAGCAGTTTTCATCACCGGCAGTCGAGCTATCTTTTCCTTGGCGCTTCTCAGTCACACGCTTACCCTTGCGTTCCTCCAATTTGTCGAAAAACCTCACATGCAGAAGTTGTATGGCCGAAATCTTAGGTCAGAAGCTGGTCTATCAAAGAGTATCAAGAGATCACTGCCACCTCAAATCAAAAAATGGCATGGCAATGTTGATAGAGTTCTAGAAGAAACGGGTCATTTTGTCGAAGAATTTTTAGATGCTGCTCGACCGAAATTTGCGGCGGGTGTTTCAACCATTTTCAGAGATACCTCTGCGCTCTTCAGTCAATATCCTGCTCGTCTAACATTGACAAGGATTGCACCAGATTTGGCCGGTTTCGATCCCAGAGATTACTCTGTTACGATCGAGGGTACATCGTTTGACTCGGCTATGCACAAGCGTACTACTTCTAAAGAAGGAATCACGGCTCGTCTTCCACAAGAACGAATGGACGGATTCAAACCTCTCGTTTTCGAATATGGTGCACCGATCAAAGTGAAATGGACAGCACCAATAAAACACAGCAATGCTGATTGGGTAGGTATGTATATGGTAGCTGACAATGCATCTCGAGAAGTAACTCGAATTCCTTCAGCGGGCCGTTGGGTTGCCACGGTTCCTAATGAATACGAATCCAGCCCAGCAGACAAAGGTATTCTCGTTTCAAATAGGTTTGTTTCGGGCGCAAAACGTATAGATGGCTCAACTCAAGATTACATGGAAGGAGAAATGATTTTTGAGGGCGACAAACTCTTCTGGACCCAAGGAGTTTTCGAATTCCGTTACCACCACGATGGCAAACACAATGTCATGGCCATCTCTCTCCCATTCGAAATCCGCATCCCCCGCTTCGACGACGAAAGCTCAAACTTAAACATTTCCCTTGATTCTGACAACTCTCAATCTCAATCTCTCATCCGCAGCGCAGTCGAGCAAGCTTTACTACCTGTAGTGCGCAATTGTTTCGATCGAGACCCAGATATTGCTCCTAACTCTGTAGATGAAAGTTTCGGGGTATTGGTCGCAAGAGATGGAAAATTCCCTAGACGCGTAGTTCATGCTGTTCATTACATGTTTGGTATTGAATTTGCGCCTGAGGTGGTCAGAGCAGATGGAAATGTGAGGAATTTGGCCTGGAGAATTTGTAATGCGAAGCAGGTATTGGTATGCAGATTTTCTCAAACTCGTCCGAGGTCACTTTCTCGACCGGCGTCATTACGTCAAAATACTTAAGTTTCTTTTCGACTTTCATTATTTTCATTCTTCTCGACACATCGATTTCCGAAACGAGCCATTAGTTTTGGGACTTTCATACAATTTTTATTTCCATCCTTATTTTCTTTACTATGATATCCTGGGGTTTAGACGGAACGGTTCGAAGCAATTCGACGGACAAGATTGGAGAAAGTATCAAATTTAGAGAGAATAGGCATTGACCAACACCTTCGCAGGCACCATATAGCATGTCGCATTCCAAGGGGACGAATACACCTGACGGTGAAGGGGAAAAGGCTTAAGCAGTTAGTTGTAGAGTACGTGAAGAATTTGGGCGGAAACGTGCCAGTGGATGATTATATGGAAATGATATTTACATGATAGATTTCCAAGAAGATATGGCATGGGAAACGGGGCAGGATGGGATAAATGTGTGGGTAATAGTTGAAGTATAGATACCCTGTATTGGCTTGGTTGATTTAAACTCACGAGCATTATATTACAAAATCAAAAAGAATAAGGTTCACAGACGAGATATAGTAGTTTAATTTTTGTATATTTCCATTGTTGGAGATTTATTGTGAATGGGCTCATTATTGATATTGATGTTGATGTTGTATTTGTCGTGATTATCCGTATATTCACGTCTAGCCAATCTATCTATCTGTCTATGTAGCCAAGTCCAGCCCAGCTAACCTGGAAACCCAAGCAGATGAGTAATAAGTAGTAAGTTTCTGCTTGATATACAATACGCGAATTATACAATTTTGTAGTATCTGTCTGTTCGTCCGTACGTCCCTTCCTGCTCTGCTCTTTTTTGTGGATTTTTTTCTCCTCTAGTGTGTGTGGTTTATTTGTATGATTTGTTCGATCGCTTGGTTGTTCCTTTGCTCGGTCGGTCCTTCTCTCTTTCCTCATTATCCTGTATTGTACAACTTTTTCATTCCTTCCTTCCTCCCTTCCTACCTCATCACCCCATTACGGGCTACTGTCACTCTCTTCCTTTCTTCCGACTTTAATTTCAAACCTCAAATTCGAATTCCACTCAATCTCATTCCCCAAACCTCAAGCCAAAACTAAATTCAAAACCCACCCCCCGCCAAACCAACCCCACGCAGCGGTCGCGAGAGAGAAAACGATGACGAATTGGAGGAAGAGAATTATGGTTTCGTGTGCTTCTTCATCATCTTCTTCGTCGGCGGGGTTGGTATTGGAGTTGTGATTTGGGTAGTCGAGCTCCCAGATTTCGGAGCCGGGGAGTTCGTGGATTGTGGGGGTTTGGGTTTGAGATGGAGATGAGCAGGGAAGGTTCTGAGGTTGTTCTGGTGGAGACTCAGTATCGGAATCGGACTCGGAATCGGAGTTGTAGTCGAATTCCCAGATTTCTTTGTAGGAATCATTTTCCTTTTTCTTTTTCGTTTTTGCTGCTGGGTAGAGACATTCGATGATGTTGAGAATGTCGGGGAGATCGGTGTCGATAGATGGTGGGGATGTTGTTTGGGTTGTGATTGTGGGGGGCTTGGGGGTATCTGGAGTGTCCTGTGTTTCGTTTTTGGGTTCCACAGGTTTCTTGCCGGATTCGGATGTGAGGATTATTTTTGGGGTCGCTTTTGGGGTGTTTAGGATCTTCTCATCGACTTCCTTGACTTCTGATGTCTCGTTGTCGCTCTTCGAGATTATTTCTGTAGGGGGCGAAATCGTTTTGAGATCTGAGGAATCCGCCTGTCGAAATGATCCTACCTCTTTAGACGCAGATAATTTTTCATCCTTGACATCCAATTTCCTTTGGTCATCTTTGGGAAAGATCTCTGGAGCTATCGGAGCCTTTTTAAGGTCAGAAGAAGATATCTTTGAAAATAGTCCTGACATTGCAGACGAAGACAATTCTTCAAATTCCTCAAGCCTTTTGATTTGTTCAGATTCTTCCGATCTTCTAGGCTCTTTTCTTACTTCATCTCTGTTTGAAAATGTGCCTTCGGATCCATGTTCATCCCCGGAATCCTCCTCACTACCAGACCCATTGAATTCAAATTCAAGACCCATTCTTTCCCCCACAATTTGGGAACTCCTGGTACCAAAATCCATTTCCTCCCAAGGCACTCCCTCTTCCTCGTCCAATCCATCCAAACTCATGCTTAGTCCCATGTTTTTGACTTTTCTTTTAAAAGTTGCCGCCACCTCTTTTTTCACCATCTTCAATTCGCTCTCTAGACTTTTCATTCTCATGTCATCGGTGAAGGCTTTAATCTCCTGAGCGGCAGTCTTTTGAGCCTTTGAAAGCTTGTCACAGTCTTTGCGCATTTTTTCAAAGCGCTCCCGATCTTTTGAAAGCTTATCAGAGTCGTTGCGCACTTTCTCAAAAAGTTCCCGATCTTTCAGCTGGGATTGGTGTAGTAAGTGAGCACGACGACCATGATCGTAGGCACGTCGTCTGATGGAGCTAGTGAGCGTTTTACGGATCTGCTCCAGATTATCATAGTGGTGCGATGGATGGGAAGATGGATTTTGTACTGTGAAGGTTGTCAGTTTGAATTTTGTGTATTTGGAGTCAAGTGATTCAGAATTGCCTGAAAGGTAGTTTTAAGATTGAATGAAGAGAAGGGAAATCTTACCGAGCTTTTGAAAAGCCTCTTCAATTTCCTCAGTGGTAACCTCAGGAATCTCTGGCAGTCCAAGAATATGGTAGTACGACGTAGTGTACCGACTTGGCACTTCGGGTTTCACTGCGGAAGTTGGCACGAATTCAGGTTCGGGTGATGAGTTCCGGTCATAATCTATGAATTGATCGGAGGTGGTACCGATCACAGGAGCTGTCGCTGATCGTCGTGCTAGAGGTGGGACTGGCACAGTCTTGACATTCATGGAATTTGAGCGAGCTGATTGCCAAGTTTTGTATCTTTTCATCTCTGTTGGAAGAGGAAGAGGCAGTGGCCGTGGTGTTTGTTGGGAGGGAGAGACTGGTGGAGAGGGAAGATGAGATTGTTGTCTTCTTTGGGCAGCCATTTTGATTTTGATTTTTGCTTTGATTTTTGTTATTGTCAAAGTATTGATAGGTAGAATAAGCTAAGTTGATATGATCAGATAATAGAATCCAAAGTGTGACAATTCTTATCACGGTGCAAAGATAATTATTGAAGATTGCTAAGTTGTTGAAATGGGAAAAGTAGACTTTGTCGTGACTTGTAAATCTGGTCCCGTTCCTGGTATCTTTTGCAATTGTAGGAAAAGTTGTAGTGAAGAAGAAAAAACAATTGCCAAGAAGATCCTTTTATGGTGGAAACGAAAGATGAGTGAAGAATAATACCGTATTGACACACGCGCTACTGAGGGGAAACACTACAGTCGATGAAGGACTCGTACTAGCGAGATGTAAATGAGAAGAAGAGGTTGAGTGAATTGCAATTTGTGGCGTACGGTTCTGGTGGGGTTGCGTGACTTGACTTTGAAGGTGGAGTGAATTTCTCTTTCTTTGCTTTTTGGAAGTTGGTGCGGGGAAGTAGGAGTGAAGTGTGGAGGTTGGAGTTTTTTGTGTGGTGTAATGTGATGTGATGAAGGTGAAGGTGAAGGTGAAGTGAAGATTGAAATTTAATAATGGGTTTGGAGTGGGAAGTGATGAGTGATTGAAGTGAAGTGAGATGAGGTAAAAAAGTGAAGAAAGAAATTGATATCTAAGGAAAGATGCATAGAATGCGTAGAGTGATGTAATACGTGATAATGCATGTATGAGTAAAGCAAAGTGAGGTCTGAGATGAATATGCTAGTAATAGCCACATGATACAAGGTTACTTGTGAAAAAGAAAAGAAGATCATTGAGGTTTCTTTTTCTGTACAACTAGGTAGGTAAACAAGAGAAGGCTGCAGGCTACAAGTTTGTTGATCGTCATGATTCTTTTCTTTTGGAGGGGTTTGAGATTTTGCTTTTCTGGTGGTGGGATGGAGGGGTATGGAGGGGGAGGTGCTTAATCTGGAAGGTGATTGAGTTACCTGGTAGGGGATCGGGACCTGGAAATGCTTTCGGATTTTGTCTGTGGTTGTGTTGCGGAAGATGTGGTATATAGGCAACTACCTAATCCTTCAAGGCTGAAGGTTGGAGATGCTGCAGCCGTCGAGATGAAGAGGTTTCGGCATCTTCAATGTACGGACATATGGCATATGAGCTGTTTACGGCTTGATAGCTGTACACTCAAAGCAGTTGGTTTCTTTGGTGTTGGCAGCACAGTGGAGATCTTCATCAGAAACCATAAATTCAATCTTGACCCCGAACGGAAGATCCGACAAAGAATTTAGATTCACTTACAGAGATAGCAGATTACTGAAATTTTTCCTCTCTCTTCCAGATCTAATACAATCTCCTCGTATCCGGACTGCCAGCATCCATATCCTCCCATCTCCCTTCATTCCACCCTCCGTACCGACGATCATTTCCAACTCGACCACTTCCTCCATTCAAAATCCTCTCCGCCAATATCCACTCTTTGAAGTCTCTCTCCCTCTCCCTCTCTGCATCCCTACTTTCTCCCAAGACCTCCCACGCCCTCTCAAGAAACATCCACTCATCCTCAATCCTATCCTGCTCTCGAGATATCGCGTCCTGCAATTCTATTATCCCATCGATTCTCCTCTGAATCTCCATTTCCATTCCCACTTCTCTCTCCCTTCCCATATTCTCAATACCCTTCCTGCCATTTGGTGTAGCTGAGAAGACCCCATTTCCTTCACCGTATCTTTTTGAAAAGTTTTCAGTCCTTCCACGTCTTGAAAAATCCACTTCATTTCTCCTTCCGCTTCTTGTACTTTCCCCTTTGTTGAAAGATAAGCTAGGATTGTATTCAGAACCATTTCTCTGCTGTCTTTGTCGTCGTCGTGGAGAGCTATTCAATTCTTCGGACGAGAGTGTGATAGGCGACGTAGCAGATTCTGGACGATAATACCATCCTGGGAGATGATGGTACGGCTTACTAGTATTGCTGGTCTGTCGAGAATGGCTGGGGAAGAAAGTGTGGGGATGAGGAAAGAGGTTGCGGACGGCGTTCATGGTCGAGGCCTGATTTGATCCTAATGGTATCTGGAAGAACCTTGATCCCGAAGGGAAATTTCAAATGAATGTGAGATGGGAATTTTTCATGTTTTAATAGAATGACTGCCACTTGGTTGAACTTACAAGTCATGGAAAGATAGAAGCATATGGTCTGACTTTCAAACAATTAAAAAGAGAATCCCTTCTCGTTCAGGAGAATCTCATGTGATGGATATTGAGATGGAAAAAAGTTTGCTCATGCTATGGCAAACTCACTGACAAAACTTATGTAATGGTTTGATGTCTGCAATTTGGAATAAAGAGACTGGCAATCATATATGAATAGGGAGGTCATCAGCACATGACAACCGGTTCTCCTAAAGACGACTTGAAGGAAAAATCAAATCAATCAAAACATATCATTCGCATGAAAACACTCGCAAAAGTCAACATAAAAAAATTTAACTCATCGATTATCATGGGGTGAGCAAAAATAAACTCCCTCCTTCTGGTCGTGGCAGCTGACGTCAAACGTCCTTGAAATATCCCACTCAACTTGACTAGCAAAGATATCACAACCATTATCATTAAAATCCAACATCTTTTTAAATAGCCCTCAATTCAAATATTATCTCCCTCTCTGTCGCTTTCCGATCCCTCTCTTCCAAGTACTCGAAAAGCTCAACCCATTCATTAATTTTCAGATGCTTATAAGGACCTTCTTTAGGATCACTGAAATATGCCTGCAAATCTTCATAGCCCTCAGAAATTTTCCATCTTTCTTCATATATTTCCTGCACCAACTTCGGATCGAATCTGAGATCTGATTCGCGAGCAGGTCTCAAATGAGGTGGAATGTCTTCATATTGAGAGAGTGCAGACGCAGGGAGGGGAAATCGGTCTGAACTAGGCGAATCTACACGTTGAGTTGTTCGTCGGAATTCTTGGTATGTGGGGATCGTGTCGCTGGGTGTGAATGGTTGTTGACCGGCGTTAATTCGCTCATCCCAGAGTTTGGCGACTTCGGGATCGGTGGGTACGGAGGTGCGGTCTAGGGAGCTGGCTCTTCGTCGATGAATGTATTCTTTGCTTGAGGGATGGTGTCGACTGAATCTACTGTCGTCTTTCTGGGTTGCGTAGAAGAGATCTCGATTCTGGGGGAATTTAGACGAAGGTCTGTAGATTCCTTGGTCAAGACCGCTGATTATGGATGATGATCTTTTGTTTCGTCTTTGGGGTTTTGGTTGAGACGATCCGGGAGGTAACAGTAGTTGCGGTTGGTACTTTTGGGAATGAGAATTTTGAGCATCTGGTTGTTGGGGACTTTGGGGCAGGAGATTGATTGTCGGAACAATATTATGCGCGGATCTACCTGGGCGTATATTTTCTGTATATTCCGGGAAAAGTTCCGATGTGCCCTCGCCCACGGGAGATTGAGTGAGTTCCGAAAGGCGAATCGACTTAGGTGAGCTGGGAGGTTCAGGATGCATATCTCCTTGATATGCCGAAGCTTGAGGGGTAAAATCTCGAGAGACACAAAGGGGGTCGGGTAGAGCGCTATCAGGATATATCGAAGATGGAGAACCAATCATTTCCCGCAAGTCACGCTGAAAGCGCGCAGAAAGAGGTACAGGAATGTCAACGTCGTATTCAGAATATTTGGAGGATACTCTCCTATCATTCTGAGTTGTGGATTCTGGTACCGGAAGCGCCTTGTTCGAGTCAGATGCGAGAGGGTACGCCAATGGATGAGATTGAACTGGAGCTTGTCTAGCTGCCAACTGAGATGAGTCTGATGGAAAGAAGGATGCAAGAAGATCTTCTCTAGGACGTGCATTTTGAGGATAAGCGGTCGAGACATCTTCATCGACCCATATAGAGTTGCGTGTCGGCAATGATACCGCGGTGAGTGGTTGTTCTGGGTTGGCTGGTGAGTCTGATGAGTTGTCATTCAACCTAGGCCATGCCGTCGTAGGAGCTGAGTTGCTGGGATCCATCGTGAAACTTCTTTTCGAGGTTGCTAGATACCTAACCTCGAGAGGAATTGACAACAATGAAAAGGTACTGTATCCGAAAGTAAGAACTTTGAGTCATCCCTGAAGTGCACCGAGACCACACCATTTTCGCTCGGCTGTATTTTCCAGGTCGAGTGAATGTCACAGAATCATACCATCCCTTTATACCTCGTTAATCCCATTATTCCTCATCTTCTCCTTTCATAAAGCCCATGTGTAATCTCCACCACTTCCTCAACTCCTCGTCCTTCCCAACCTCTATCCCATAATCCTTTAAGCTTTCCAATTGCTTAACCTTTCCAGCAGGCACATCTAATCGCCTCCCATCTACTTCTTCTTTCTTCATTAATTCGAAGTTCTTATACCTTAGATTCTGTATTTTCGACACATCGTCAGCTGTTCATCCGTATCTCAATTATGCTCCATTTCCGAACCAGGCAATTTGATTCCTATTCCAAGAAATTGCACGGGGATTAACCCACCTTCACAACGTCCAACCATTGTTCTGCATTCCCAATTTCTCCCTCAGCAAGCATCACTCCAGGTGGCCTTCCAGTCTTTAACAATACTGCACAGTCTAGTTTCTTCGCTGATTTAGTTATCTTTTCAATCTTTTTGACGGATGTCATGTGATGAGTTTTGATCAAAATTCTTGCTAGATTTTGTCCTAGCAACATTGTTACAGCTTTCTGTGTCTGTATAAGTTGTACTTCCGTCAGTACTCCACATCACTGTATCGTCCTCTGTCAAGCCTTCGATTTCTTGATCGCTGCTCCAGCAATGCAGCCAAAATGATACTGGAAACTTGGTCATGTGTAGAAGGTGGAGCTGATTATGTCATGGAAGCTTGAAGCGGCCCCTCACCCGCTAGTCTACAAAGCTAGGGGAGCAAATTAATTTAAAAGTTCTCGTTTCTTCTGCATTTCCTGTTTCTTCTTCTTCAATTACAATAAGAATCATCACCCATGGAATGAGCACAATGCAACTTGTGTCATCTTTCCAATGCACATAGAACCGGTACAACAGAGGTACTGCAGGTGGTGAGGTCGGGCTGGTAGCCTTCTTCACCATCTCGCGCCGACATTTCTACTAACTTTACCACTTCAACTTTCAACACATGTTCGCTGAACACCACAACAAAGGTTAGTCACAACTGTCTTTTTGTATATATCGCATACCATCCACAAGCTTTGTGATGAACAAATCATAGCTTTTTAACCCCGAGTGCATCGCACCCTGAAGACCAAAAACAACAACTCTAATTTTTTCCTGAATGCTTTCAATTCTACTGCCTTGTCACACAACATAACATGATCATGATCACTTGCTGACAATACATATAGAAATCTTCATTAGTTGGAGGTCTGGGATCATCCCCCACATCGGCATGGATACTCTATTGAAAGACTGCTGCTTTGCACAACTTTGCGCGACCTGACACTGCTCTGTAGCCCTACTGAGTGGAGGTTCCGATTGAATATTATAAAAGCACCATAGCATTGAGCATCGGGATCATTGCAAGTATGTTACGGGGCTGTAATGGCGCTGCAGTTTGCGGATCGTCCAGGCCAGTATGCTATCGTCTGCAACACGGTAAGTTTTCAATGTTCAATTAGATAGATGGAATACAACCTATAAACTTCACGCTTGCACACTATTATTGACTCATGTGAATGACACCATGCTTGCGATCTTCAGAATTCAATGAGAACTATTTTGTAATGTGGCTGCACTTGTGAAAAGAATCGCTTCCAGGACATCTCATTTCTTCAATGTGAGATTGAATGAAGAATACAATATGCACTTCTGGATGAGATTGTCAGGCCATCAAATGGGGAGCAGCGCTTCGGCTCCTCTATTCCTCACATTCATGTTGGAAAGCTCCAGCAAGAAAAGGCCATCTGTTTGAATTTGAGTATCCAGTGGAACTCTGTTCTATATCACTAGTCATAATTGGTATCCATTTATCCCGAGGCTGTCGAAAACCTTCCGGAAATTTACGATGAGGTCGATGCTGCCATCGATAACAGCCAGACCGGTCACCACTAACGAGTGAAACTAATAATGGCTCTTTGGTGCCAGTTGAACAGCAGCAAAATTCGAAGCTTGTTGGGTGTTACTTGTTGATCTGCGAATGATGACATACGAAGTATATATATCCAAACGAGACAAAAACTGCCATAGTCGTTGACAGATTGCCTAACCCTTTACGATTTCGATAAGATAACCACCATTTCCGAATGACGATGAGGCTTTGTTAGTTTCATCAGGTCGGATCTACAATACCGAGGCGCCAAGAAGTCCTTATTCTATTCACTGTCTACTTCTCCGCTTTTGATGTGGAATACATGTTCATTTTACAGTTGATATAGGAGAGATAATCTCTTCATACCTTACCCAAATCTACGGAAAGAGCCGCTTTTAGAACCCTCCGTTCATTTCCCCTCGATGTTGAGTACTGAACATTCAGATTAACTACTATCCGGGGCCGCCATATACATCATGGCTCTTCGCTCGCTAATATTCTCTCCGGGCCCCTTGACCCAATGCGATGTAGGCGGACAACGCCAGTTGGCTTAGCTCACCCTTTATTCCGCACGTCTAACCATTTCCAGTTCAGCACCGTCGAATTAGGACAACGTCCACTCGCTGATCCTTATTAAAGACGCGGGTGGCTACAATTAATTCATCGATCGTTCGCCTCGATTGTGCCGTGGAATGAACCACAATACACTTGTTACTCATACGATCAAGTGTTCTGTCGCTGAAGCGGAAATTCAGAACGTACCGGAAATCATGGAGCGCCTCATGACAGTGAAATCTCCGCCGCACAGAACATCCAGCAGATATATTATAATGCCTCATTCCTCAATTTTTATCAGAATCTCAATTTATATTCCTTATGCACGCTTTCACTCTTACGTTTACTTATTTAGTTCTCCGCTCAGACACTTGACAAAATCTCAACGATTGTCACAGACAAAAGATGTATCTACATGCATTCTTCGCAGTTATAACTGCATCTTTAGTCCTAGCAGCGCCAGCTCCGGTTCCAGCACCTTTCCCACAACCACAGCTTATAGGAAATCCCGTAACAGGTCTCGTGTCAAGCGTCGGGGATGCAGTCCTTGATATTGGTAGTTTATCCTCGGCCATTCCCGCAGTGTTATCTGACAGTGGGGAAGTATCGACCGCTGCGAATCTGGTAGTAGGTGTGTAGATTTCATTTCATCAAGCAAAGATAGTTTTATTGACATAACACAGGGGCAATTGCAAATGGAACGATTTTGGGCACTGATGTACCAGTGATTGCTAAGAAGTTATTTTCGGCCGCTCAACCTACAGCCAAACCAAGTAGTGTTTCTCAAGCATTAAATTGGGCAGCTGGTGCTTGGGGCGTATCTGATCCTTCTGCTTCCCCAACTCCACCGGCAAATATTCTCTCAAATGCTTTGGGACTTGTTCTTAATGGTTTCACTTCCAGTGATCTACAAGCTGTCGCATCTGGTGCTGTAAGTCATGTATTGTTTTGATATATGTTACAATACTGATTTTCTCCAGAGCCCATCTACCAACTCTGTCAATAACGTGAATAACCCAGTGCCTCCCAACAAGAGATTTTACAACAACGTAAATGGCAATGCACGATTTTCTATCGACGAAAAAACCCTCAGGGCTGCAATTTACGTTCCTCCTGAATTTACCTGGGGCAAGAAGCAACCAGTTATCATGTCACCTGGTACGGGCGCATTTGGCTATGGCACGTATGCTTCTAACATAGGCAAACTTCTTGCTACAACTGACTATGCCGACCCGGTCTATTTGAACATACCATTTGCTTTGCTTGACGATGCACAGACCAACGCAGAATATGTAGCTTATGCGCTTCAATACTTCTATGCCATGACTTCGCGAAAAATTGCTATTGTCACATGGTCGCAAGGGTCTCTCAATGCTCAATGGGCGTTTAGTTAGTATTTCCCAATATTCTCTCCCAGATATTTAGCTAACAATACCTCCCAGAATATTGGCCATCGATCCCAAAAACTGTTACAGACCACATCGCCATCTCACCTGATTACCACGGTACAATCTTAGCTTACATTCTCTGTCCCGGGTTCGAAAGCGGAAACGACATTGCGTGTACTCCTTCCGTCCTCCAACAACAATACCAATCCAACTTTGTCAATAGACTCCGCTCCAACAACGGCGATTCAGCCTATGTTCCCACCACTACTGTCTATTCCCTCACAGACGAGATCGTCCAACCACAAAGCGGAACCGCTGCCTCGGGCTTCCTGCAAGATGCTCGTGGCGTCGGCGCTTCAAATACCTTTCTCCAAGGAGCATGCTTGGGACTTCCGGCCGGGACGCTATATACCCATGCAGGTGTATTATTTAATCCCGTCGCTTATGCATTGGTAACAGATGCGTTGCAAAACGACGGGCCGGGTTCGTTTGATCGGGTTAGCGATCAGTGTGGTAATCTTGTTGCGCCGGGAATTAGCTTGGCAGATGTTATTGAGACTGAAGCGTTGATTCCGTTGGTGGCGTTGAATATTTTTGCGTATGAGAAGAAGGTTACTAATGAGCCTGCTTTGATGAGTTATGCTACGTATTGAGTGGTGGTTTGAGAGAGGATCTCCCGTAAGGTGGATATGAATTATGATGATTTGTTTTAGCGAGTCTGTTTCTTGTATATGTTGAAGTGCGACGAGATGTATGATTAGCTAGGACAAAGGCTTGGGATGGTTCATCTTCTGTCCTTGTATATATATGGAGACTTTTGGGAAATTTTCAGTAAATGAAAGGGGCCGGTAATGGAAAGGGAAGAGGTTGAAAATATGTATTAGCTTTTAATCATAATCTGAAGTGCAATTTTCTATCTATATTTGAAGCAAAGCATGTCATTTCAATGGCTGTATACGCGTGGCAACCTATAGAAGTATAACGTGCTACAGAAAACTGAAATTTCCTGAATATTAAGTTCCCTGCAACCTTCCTTCATCCAGATAGTTAATGGTATCACTATCAGGAGACTGTTCCCACATCTTTGTGTTTAACAGGCCAGTGCAATTTTAGGATTCTTAGCTTTGAGATCTTGAAGACTCTATCACGAGTCTTATAGATACATTTTGCTCACATCACTTTGATGGTTAAAATTATTTCGAAAATCTTAACGGGAATGAAAAATCTCAGATATCTTAATTGTTGGACTTGACCCAGACAATTGGATGTCCTGTTTGCAAGAAGTATTGTGAAAATATGAGTTCTTTCGAGAGGTGATATTTTTGAATTTTGGCATTTCTATGGATAGATGAGATGTGTGAGTGAGTTTTTGTGATCTCTTGGGATTGAGGAATGAATGTATGGAGTAAAGCATCTACAAACAAGTTAAGCCACGTTAAATTTAAAATGTAGGTAAGGAGAACGGCGGGTCCATGCATATAGTGTGGTATTTTGTGTGATTAGAATTCGATGATTACTTATTGGCCGAGAAACGAAAGACTTCTTTTTTTCTCGATCATATTATGATTGCGATGAGTTTGCTACACTGGCTTGATAAAAAAGACGATCATGGTCACTTCCTTGCTTCTCGCAACTCTTGTTCGGTATGAATATGAGCAGGACGTATCACACCATGAATTACTTTGTAGCCCATACTTCTAATTCTGACCAGAATACAGAAAAGTAACGCCAAAACCACACAAAAAGATACATACCCAACAAAATCTTGCAAACTGGCCCAGGTATTATTCATCCGGATTGATTTACTTCCCCAGAAGAATTCAACAACGCTTCGAATACCCAAAAAGGATCGTACCGCCGTATGCAATAGACCAAGTCTATACTCACTCATAGCGGCAATTTGTAAATATGCAAATGAACTTCTGATAGCATCATTACAGAAGATACTCTGAAACAAAGATGTAATAGATACTATGAGAAAGTGAGTTATAGATCATGATTCCAAAAATTTCAGGCTCGCTTACATGCTTTCGGTCCTAGACGAACAAAACCTGATGAATAGAGGAATGGGCCACCCGCCACAGCTAGGGTGAAGAAAGTGACTATATTGATGACATGATGTTTTCGGAGAGAGTTGGAGGTGGTTGGTTATACTTCTTGATGGATTGGTAGAGAAAGATAATCGTGATGGTCACTAGGAGCAATGCGATAGGTTGGAGGATCGCGGTATTCTGGTAGGGTTTGTAAAGGTGGGGTGATTGAAAGAAATTTTGAAAGAATTGATCGTAGTTGACAATGAGATCTGTTTTATATTCAAAGTGGAGGTGGGAGAACTCGGTAGACATCTGGAAGAGCATTCCATGGAAGAAAACCAGTGGCTTGAAATTGAGCGGATTGTGACCCGTGTATTTTTTCTTCCGGCAATTATGATCCTCTTGATACTCTGCAACTACCCATATGTTATATCGCATGTGCGAGTTACAAGGGTCATATTTTATCGCTTCTTTGTTGAGCGAGCTGAGGAGATGGAGTCTCTATGACTGTCTTGCAGGTGCCTTTGCTTCTAGAAATCCCGATATATTATGATTGAAAATGTAAAGTTCGGCCTGCAGAATGCTGGTGGACTAATTTCGATCACCCTTCATAGGTACAGTTCTCAGCTTTAATGAGAGTGTTTTCATCAGTTCCATCAGTTCCATCGGTCCCATCAGTCCCATCAGTCCCATCAGTCCCATCGGTCCCATCAGTTCCATCATAGCCTTCACCAGTCTCTGCATCACCACTTCCCTTAGCCCATTCCCATAACCCAGCACCGAAACTACTCACAACAGCTGAAGTCTGTACAGCCGTATTCACAGCCGCAGCCGCATAACCACCCATACCTGCACTCTGCATGAATGAAAACCCACTCTTGGCTACAACCACACCAATTTTGCTCTGCCAGAATGTCGCAAGAGATGCTATGATGAAAATTAGTCATACGTCACGTCACCTAAGTATTCCACTTACCAGCTCTAGGTCCCATGGAACCGAAACCCAACAAGTATAACACAGGGCCACTGGCCGCGGCTGGGGCGAAGAAAACCACTCCACTGACGACGTGAAATGCTGTTTGGTATGGGTGTGCCTTGATCCAGTCCTTTATATTGTCTGGCAGGTTCTCCCATGGTACACTGTAGACTCTAGCATCCTCATTCTCGGCCTCCCTCTGCAAGTCATCAGGAACACCCGGAGTATTGGTATCATCAGAGGCATCTGTATTTCTCGTATCTTCTACCTCTTCAAGAGCGATGCTTTGTCTCTCAGAAGACTCAACGATATCATCGGTCCGTTCCTCACTTGGCTGTTCTAATCCAGCGGATGTGCTAGATTGATCGAAACTATCAGAACCCGCATTGTTGGCATTGTCGCCCGAGGGAATGATAGAAGCCATTTGCGTCAGTGATCAACTGGCGATAGTGAGTCGAAGCAAAATCGCTGCGATTTGGCACAAAGCGTAGAGCTTGAATGTGAATGCTAATGTTATTGGGCGTGTTTAACTATGAAAACACTTCCGAAAGTGAATCAAGATGAAAGCAAACACTCGAAAGCCAGCCTTGTCAAGATGCAAACGTGGAGTTCGCTTCCATGCATATTGCCTGCGGTGTAACCTGCATTTTCTTCCCCTGTTATCTTAATTCTTCTAGCATGCAACCACTCACTCATGCGAGACACGTGTACATATCTGAATTTTGAGAAGCTGGGGGGATATCAGATGTCTGGTTCGTGGTGGTAGTTTATAGGGAGCAGTGACCTATTAGATAACGCGGTATAAATTCTCGTGATCAAGATATCTCATTAGCAACGTGATAAAATTCAACGATTAGTCACTCACGGCGCTATGGAATGCAAGTAGAAATTTATTGTTCCTCAATTCAACCTTACGAGAGCATGAAACTCAAAGCTTCGCAGTAATTTTCCTACCTGTATTCCGCGATCCCCACATCTCACCAAAAAGACTACTAGCAGCGACAAAAAGTCTTGTTACCATATTTACAGCAGTAACCCCATAACCTCCCATGACAGCATTCTGAGCATGGTCATATACGTCCTTCGCACTGACCGTGCCAAACTTTCTCTGTAACATCGATGCAAATGAAGCTATTCAGAAAGTTAGCGCCATAATTATTTGGGGACTGCCCACTTACCAGCCCTTGGCCCTTTGCCAGAAAATCCCAAAACCCATAGAATTGGGCCACTAGATGCAGCTGGAGCAAAGAATACGATTCCATTCACAACATAAAATGCTGTCTGATATGGATGTGCCTTAATCCAAATTTGGATGTCCACTGCTAGTTTGTTCCATTCGATTTGATAGACCTTTGCGTGCGCCTTCTCAACCTCATCACGAAATTCAGGGGGTAATTGGGCATAGGTTACTTCTGCGGTTCTCCTGAGTGCAATACCGTGTTTCTTGAAGGCGTCGACAACACCAATAGTCCACTCGGCGACGCGTTCTTGGAATTCCATATCTTCTGGGGAGGAAATCGCATCCACGAGTCGACCATGCACCTTCTCCACTTTATTCCGAATTTCTGGAGGCATCTGTGCATAGGTTGCTTCCATCGAATCTTTGAGTGCGGTGCCGTGTTTCTTGAAAGCCTCCACGGCACCGCCAATATCTTGAAATCCAATATTTTGAAGAGAAGAAAGTGCTTGCGCGAGCGGAGGACTATTCCTCGTGGCTTCAGTGGGGGCAGCGGCAATTTCTGCGAGAGTGTGGGCCCAAGCAGCGATGTCTCGAAAAGTAGCCATAGCTGGTCGTAGAGTTTGATATGTACAAAGTAAAATGCTTTCAGATATCTTGATCTTTAGATTGTATAAGAGAATCAGGAGTAACAAAAGTCAATGGCAACTTTAAAAGGGATGGAATCGTGTCAATGAAAGTGTAAAAACTAAAAGATTTCGCTTCTGCTGCACCTTCTACACATCTACTCCGCCGCGTAGCGGTAGCCACCTTTCAGAACCCAGCTTTGTTTCATGTCTCGAATATCCTCTCTTAAAAGCGTATCTCTAATCCCTTCTCCGGATGGCTCAGTGTTGTGACAGTGTGGGGGCAGGAGAAGAGGCGGTGGGAGGGAAGGATTTTGTGCATTCTCACATTGTCTGCATAGTCTCCTCGGAATAGGCCAGTACATGAAATGACAACAATGTATAATGGATAGTGGATGATGGTATTTAGGATCACTATTCTTTCCCAGATACCTAAGTGTCTGCTACCTCTATACGATCCTAACAAACCCCTATTTGGTTTTGACGGTATCCATGAAACTCATTTGATTGGTGGCGAGAACAGCTGTACGACGCACTTGCAGAATCTGAGGATCGGTGTGATAAGCAGGGCCTCTAGTTAGGCGGATAACTGGTATCAATTCTAGCAAGTCATCCCATGTGATTCGATGAGTTCCACGTAAATATGAAAACGCAGTCGTGAATAAAATTATGATTGAAGTGAGGTGGTGGGTTGGAACTACCAGGTGGTGCTCCAAGCTTCCGCGTCCCCGCAACGCGCCTGCAACGCGATCTTAGGGAAATTTATGACCTCAGTGAACCGCAGCTTAGTTGCTACACACAAGTCATGTTTGGCTGATGCGCCCTGAAGAATGAGTATGCTGTGAATCAAATGTGCCGTTTTGAGTTATTGGGTACTATTCTATTGTTATATTACGACTTAGTAGATTGGTTCGCGGGCAAAAAGAAAAGCCAGTACGAGGAACCACTACACTCCACAGGGACTTCTGAGTTTGCTGATTGTGAAAAAGATCTAATCCTGAGCCAAGATGCTCCACGAAATACTCCTCTCCCTCTCTGGACATCCTTCTCCGCTCCTCACTGCCGATCACACGTCCTCATCCTCCATCCTATCCCCCTCCGAAAAGTCCCTCCTCTCCTCTGTCGCCCATTTGAGTGATCTTCACTGCAAGCTCCTCGCGCACACAAACACCATATCTTCAAAGCACTCTTCGAGTATCTGCCAAGCTGTCGCTACATCTATAAGCTCTGTACATCTTGCAAGCTTTCAACGCAAGGTACTTGAGGTCGAGAATGGTATTTTGCGCAAAGATGCTGGGAGTGTTGGTGCATACAATATTGTGCCGTTGACATTTATCGTGGAGAAATTCTCTGGTTGGACGAGACGAATGGAATGGTTCTTGGAGATTGTAGACTTTATGATGCAAGATGTGGGTGGAAAGAAGTGTAGTGGGGCAATGGTCATTGATAGGTTGTGCAATGCTATACAAACAGGATATGCGGACATAGAGGAGGCGGCATTGAGTCTGGTGAAGGTTGCGCAGACAGCTTGGCTGAAGCAGGTATCGGCCTGGATTCTATATGGGCGGTTACCAAGTTTTGGACGTGGGGATTTTTTGTACAAGAAGACGATTCAAATGTATGTTTCCATGGTTCACAATTACGATAGATAAACAGCTGACTGGTCGGATTATAGGACTACACGAACGTTAAAGACTTGTTACCGGCGTTCGTGTCAGATTCTACCGCATCGTCGCTTCTTTTCATTGGACGATCCTTGAATCATATTCGAGTCAAGGGCATCTCATCTTCGTCCTCCCCGGAGCTTGACCTATTATCATCTCACTTGCGACAGTTATCAACAATCAAATTCCCAATAAATGGCGCCAATTTCGCACGGGTCATAGCCGCTATACGTCTTTCCCTATCTCAAACTACTTTACAGAAGCTGCTACCCTTAAGCAAAGTAATTGAGGCCTTGACTTTATTACGGGAATTTTTTCTACTTGGCAGAGGAGAATTTGCCATAGCTTTGATATCTGAGGCTGATGAAAAGATCCGATCAAGATGGAGAAGGTCTGACACTTTAGGCTATGAGAAGAAGGATGGCCTGGGGAACATCGTCGTTAAGGAAGGGGAAGTCACTGCAGTCCTTGCTAGGACCTGGGCTGCGATGGGCGCACAAAAGGGTCAGAATGACGAAGAGGATGATGACGATTTGCTTGAACTTGCAAGAGACCTTGTTCAGTTGAACATTATGAAAGGGAATACGAATACGCCAGGGAAAGCCAACTTGAGAGCTTCGCAATCTTCTCTAATTGTTTCCACCCCTTTCCGAAATCTCTTACTTTCCGTTCCCGTTGCCCTTACACTTCACATTCCATCACCATTAGATCTGTTCCTCACTCCATCTGATACCCAGATGTATTCCAGCATTAATGCTTATCTTTTAGCAGTCCACAGGGCCCATCTACGGCTCACTAATCTTTGGAAGATAACTTCGTTACGTCGCGATCATCCTGCACCTCCAGGTCCACCTTTGGGTAGTTCGACGTTTGGTCGACAAAAGGTTCTTACGCTTCGAGCTAGAGCTAAGGAGCGTTCTCACGCTATGCGCAGCGTATGGGCAACTAGTAGCGCTGCAGTCTTTTTCCTAGGCGAGACGGAAGCATACCTTCAAGGCGAAGTTGTGCAAGGAACTTGGTTAGGCTTCACAGCCTGGCTTACAAGAGAAACACGTGCATCAGGATCCCATGATGAAGATGAAGATGTCTGGTTGCAGGCTGCCAATCAATCAACATCGAGGAACGCTAGCCACAATCACGATCCTCAAACACTCGCAGATGCACATAGGAGATACCTCACAGCTCTCGCATCCAACCTTCTTTTAACCACTTCAACATTTACGGACCCACTCTATTATCTACTCCAACAAATCGATCATCTAGTCGCTCTTGTCCACCGTATCCACTCTGTCTGGCAATCTCTCGATCTCGAGGCTGATGAAGGAGTGGTAGATGCATTCTCTGACTTTCACAAAGAGGAACAAGACATCAAAGAACAACTTGGAACAATTGCAACACGTGTGAAGGACGCAATTGAAGAATTGGTCAAGACACTACGGGACATAGATCAAGATAAAAATGGCTGGGACAGTGGATATGAGGAGTTGGTCTTGGGAGAGGAAGGTGCATACGTCCCAGCTAAAGTCGGCAGAGTAGACAGACTGCTGATGAAGCTTGATTTTGGCGGTTGGTTCGATAAAAGAGGTAATGGGGAAACAGGAGATGTTTTTGATGATTTTGGTGATGATGAATAATGAATTAATTGTTATTTTATTTAAAATTTCGGGGCAGAGGATGGGGGAAGGGACAATACCCAGGCGTTCAGGCACGAATTATAACATTTTAGAATCACAATTAAGCGGATTGGTCGAAACTGATCCTAAAAGTCAACTTCCTGGAGCACGATTTTTTATTGAATTTGAGCTAGAACACAAATCTGCCCCATGAAATAGCACTTTAAAAGCAGTCGCTCTTGGAGGAAGCAAGGTAAGAGAGGTAGTGCCTTTTCCATTCGTCAAATTTGTTATTACTACTTGATCCGCCCTTTTCACTCATATTTACCTCATCACTTTTTCGACTCTCAATTTCTCGTGAAAATCCCGATTTAGAACATAAATATTTTCACCAGTCAAGTTCTATGCTACTCAGAGACTCTCCAGCTCTTTTGTATACAATTCCATAGCTCTAGCCCTTTGAATAAAACCTTTCAGCTTTCTCGGAAGAGGTTTCTGTGGTTCAGCAATAATGATGCATTCCTTTCGCACCCAAGCTTCTTCTCAGTATTTCTCATTGATACCATTTACAATAATCCAAATTTCTTCAATCAGCCTTCTTTTATAATCAAGCTCTGCCGCATCAATGCTATCTTTCAAATCAACAAGAAGAGCCGTTTTCGTTGCAAATCTCACGTTGAAAAACTTTCCAGCCGGAACCATAACTCCATCTTTAGCATCAGGATGGTTTGTCATCACATGTTCCATGTATTGTGGATTGAACGGACGAGTTGCCATATTATCTACAACAACCAAAATCATATCGTCGGTACGCCCCCGGTATATCCATCAGCCCGCCTTTGTGGGATGAGGAGAGAATAAATCCTTGGTAGAATACTCCTTCAAATCCGGATAAAGTTTAAACACCGGGTTTTCAAACTCTGGATCGCAATTTCGTTCGTTGACAGCTTCATAAAGTTGATCATCATCTGAGAAAACCCGATATTCCAAACCTGCAGCAGGATGAGTACATTTATATTTCCAATATTCTGCCGGCAATTCTCCTGACTTGTAAATATTTGGAAACGGGGAAGTTTCCGTAGATTCATTTGAATTCCAGAATTTGAATTTAGAGGTTATGATATCACCGAATTGTTGGGGTAAATCGCCGCCGCCGTACCATATAGCGTCGAGTTTCCGGGCAACCAATTCTTCTAAGATTTCGGGACTGGTCGCAATCTCGTGCACCATCCCTGGAGGTGCACATAGTGCATCTACTGGCGTGTATTTCATAATCTCGACCAGCGATGACGCAGTAGCTCGTTCCATTGGTAGAGGAAATATGACGATGTTTTGATTGGCTAGTGATTCTGATAGTGCGTTTATGCTTGATGCCTATCCTGCAGTGAGTTCTCTGTCGAGCTCGGGAGCTTCACATAACAGCAAACGGAAAGTTGAAAGAAGGAGATATACTTGCATGAAATGGTGGAAGATTCATAAAAACTCGTGTTCCTTGGTACTGCTTTTCTCTTGATTCAAACCCTTCAGGGGAAACTAATTGCGCCATTCTCATATATGTCGATACAAAGTCGTGAGAATAGATAACAAGTTTTGGTAGACCCGTCGTTCCAGATGTGTGGAGACAGACCAGAGGTTCATTTTTGGTCTCGTTGTAAGTTTTGCTAAAGGGAAAATGTTTGTAGCTTTTATCTAGAAACTCGTTGACATTTGGAACGGTAATAGTGCGTAACTTGGGCATGCTATTGGGTAACACAGGCACTCCTAGCGGGGCTGGATCTGTAGTTGCTAAAACTTGACAGTCCAGCCCGTTGAATAGACTGATATTTCCCTCATTACCGTTATAAGGCGAGACGAGAAGTATCTATCAATCACATACCAATATGTTTACATACACGTATCATAAAAATGTACATACTTTATATCCAGCTTTCATTGCTCCCAAGACCATAGTAACGTATCTAAGATCGTTCCAACCCATGTAACAAATAGTTGGAAAATCCTTTCCGAATCCAAGACCAAGCTGATCAGTCAACCACCACGCAATACCATTGACGGCATTCGCAAGTGCGGAATATGTCACTTTTCGAAAACCTTCAGAGTAGCTGGTGGATGAGACGGGTACTAAGGCCTAGAGTGCACTGGGTCGTGTTCGAGCCATGCCGTCGATGATATTGTTTAAGAGCTGTTTTTTGGTTGGAGTTTCCTGGGCGTATTTTGGACCGGGGTGCCCTTCGTTGAAGAGGATTGTGGCCATTGTTTCTTGGTGTCTTGGGAGTAGGAAATGGAATGTGGTCATAGAGATTGAGGTTTGTGGGATGATATATACCTAGCAGTACTTAGATGTATATCAGTTGGTACCAACAAACTACGCAATCATACTTGGACTGCCAAACTTCCACCCCACCAACATACATTGGATTGACTGACTATATGCTGTAAAAATTTACGGGACGACGGCACATTGATGTTAATTTGGATTGCTGGACCGTCTGACTGCATGAGTACTCAGATTATTTATTTGATTTTACTAAAGACGAACGACTGTTGAACCATCCGTGGGTTCACGCCACATTTGCTTCACAGTCTAATGCTTTTTGACTTTCATCTTGGGGTCTTACTTACGACGCCGTGTTCTATGTCAGATTTCTCGAAGTTGTCGTTCTGCTCAACTTTGGTCGTTTGGATAAGGGTGATGAGATCTAGAGAAAAATTCGGAAATCTCATACGTGATGCAACGAAGATAATCTTTTTAGATAGTAAGAATTTGGGGATTGAAGCACTGTTCGTTGTTCTGCTACTGTTTTTAAGGAGGCTAACTGTTGTCGATAATCTTCTGCCGTTGTTCATAATTGCATGTCGTTGACTCGTTGCTATACTGAACTACTTTTAATTATTTTGTTCAAGAGGCACATCGTTCTCCACAAAACGATAGTCGAACTACATGTCACACAAATTTTGCGGTGACTTTCCCAGCGCCCACGCAGAGATATCATGTAGAGCCGCAAAGTTTGGATTTATTTGTTTGCTTCTGGAGTTTAAATAATCCTTCCATGAAATCTTAAAGGGCGTCCCTGCTGTCATTAGACCGGGTACAGTTAATCATCAAGTGAATGTAGCCGCCCAAGACAGGTACATGAATAATATGTTGAGCCGATAGTAAAATCGAGTTTTGTTGCATATCTGAGAAATTCTGACATTCCTATCCTCTCGAGATGGATCAACGATCCTGAAGGTAACAGAATGGACCCCATCCCAGTTTTATTCTATGCCATTTAATGATGGTGAGCGCACCTAAAAGAAGTAACTAACGGGTTTGGAAGCCACAATGGACCCGTATATCGATAATAACGACTGGGCCACTTCAGAATGATAATCGTGGCTATTGTTCTTTTCCATTTTTCTCCAACGGTGATAGCGTGGCTCGAGCAAGTTCAGCATGAATGAGATAAGTTCATGTTTTTGGCCATTAAAAGAATTCGTGCTAGTTGCTAAGTGGTCTATATGAGTCCCCGTTTGTTGCTTGAGATAAATCAGTCAGTCTTAAATATAGACCTAAAGTAAAGATAAACTTCAGTCATACTTCGTCACAAGTAATGTGATAATAACTTATTGGGTCGGAAGTTCAAATCATATGTGTAATCTTATGAGATCAGATGTTATCGCATTTATTGCCGTTGTCATCTCGATATTATCATTGAGCATCCATGACGAAGGTAATTCGTCTAGTAATAAGAGATAATAAGTAAATTCTTGGTGGTCAACTCTAAATAGTATCTTTTGGAACCAATTAACCAGTTCAGTCCAAACGCTACTGTGCGGAAGAACATCGACCGTGAACGTCGAATTCAAAATTGCAATACATAATACGCACCATACTGCTGAATTCACCCCTTATACTCCACAGGAAATTATCGGAAGCCTTCTATCTGTAAACAAGTGTGAGAACCGGAGTAAATGACATTTTCGGCGGCTGTATACAAAATTCTTCCGAGGATTTCATCAGAATATAGGGGGTGTCTGGCGGTAAGAATGGCACAAAAATAAAATCATGTCCCTTCGAAGTGTATTAGCAGGAAGTATACATTGATCGTACACGGGAAATCAAGGTTTCCAGCCATATAGGATGTGATAGAGCCCATGCAGAATCTAACAACGGTCTGATAAAGTTGACAGCTAAAACCTGAAACTGACAATAGATTGAATATCGGGAAGTCAAAACAGAAGACAAAGTCAACTCACGACTGGCAGGCAAGCATCTTTATCTCTTCTCCCGTCGACGGCGGAACGCTCTGGAGTGCTTGCTATGGTATAAGGTGTGTATAGTGGGATTGCAGGCGAGGATCAGAGGTGTAAAACTGCTAAGTTCTGATTGAGACTTCAAGCCTTCGTAGTCAGAAAGCCCATGCTATCTCGCCCGCCCGAAAGGCCAACTGATGGAGATTGACTTCCCCAGCTTAATCTGAATCTAATCACGTGCTTGCTGTTTATTGTGAGGAGGCCGTTGGAAGCCACAGCCCTTATATAAACAGAAAATATGACCCAGGTATTAGATATGATGATGCTTCTTCTCATAGACCCCTACTGAAATTCTTGCAGTATTCATCGTTTGAGACGATAGAGGCTGAGGTGTCGAGAGCGAGGAAATGACAATTTTCTTCTCTAAAGCTAACCCGATGGATGTGCTTCAGGGATTTTGTCAAAATACATACGGTTGTCGTGAAAGAAAATTATCTATTTATATTCCATCCAGATCCAGGGATAAGAAAGACAGGGTGGATTGATTCAAGTCATAAAACTTGTGATGGATAATTAACTAGGTACCTACCTACCTACTCTCTCAACAAACAGTCTGATGGTGATAGCGGGAGATTACATAAGCGAAGGAGCTCACCTTTCTGCGGCGGTCCTGAATTAAGACATGCAACAAATGACTTTTTTTTAGTCACGAGAATATCATGTGAGTCTTTCTAACTTCCGAGGTCCGATAGCCGCTTTATGCAGCAGCCAATTCTTCTCTTCTCTTTCATTTCATACATTCTGGACATTCTAGGCAAAGTACCCGGAATCTCAAGAAAGCCAATTTATGAAGAGTCCTGTAACTCAGCCCCTCAACTTTGGCTTGGTATTGGCAATAGATGTTGTCGCAAGAGCGTACCTGTTCGATTCCGAATGTATCATTTTCCGTACCGGCCGAGATGCCTATTTTCCCGCAACAATGTTAGGTAACAGACGGCGGCACGATACTACAGAACCCCTGATATTCAACCTCACATGTCAAAAGTACTTGGCTTTCATGCACCTATGCACCTTCCCCGCTTGTAACCCCGCAAGATAATCGGGCCGTCGTCTTGCTCCTTCCATCTGGAGTACATGGAGTGAAAAACGTGGAGGTTAGTTTGACCAATTACGATATTTGTGACATGAGTCGAAAAAGTACACACAAGCACAAGAAAGTATCAATAAGTGCTCATGTTGTTGCATGTTATTGCGTTTGCACCACTTCTCTTTCTTCTTTTCTCGACTTGAGGGACACAATTGTCAATATTCAAGATGCTGTTTTCATCGGTTGTTACGATTTTATCTCTGCTATGTGTACAAGCAACCGCAATTTCGTCAAGGGATTCGGCTGCAAGTTACAGTAGTCTAGATTCCTTCATTGCTTCTGAGAGAAAGATTGCCCTACAGGGTGTTCTCAACAACATTGGACCAGACGGATCGAAAGCATCAGGAGCAGGCAATTATGTCATTGCCAGTCCTTCGAAGGCCAATCCTGATTGTAAGCGAGACTACTTTTATGTTTCCAAGGCGATTCATGTTAATTGGCCCCAGACTTTTATACCTGGACTCGAGATTCTGCGTTGACGTTGAAAATGCTTGTTGATGAATTTATTTTTGGCAATCGTGCACTCCAACCTCAAATTGAGAAATACGTCAAAGCTCAAGCCATCCTTCAAACTGTAACGAATCCTTCTGGTACTTTTCTTCCTAATGGTTTAGGACTTGGCGAACCGAAATACGAGGTTGATGGTACTCGATTTAATGGTGGTATGTAATATTCAGGAGTAATTTCTAGCACCCGCTAACATTCTCCAGCATGGGGTAGACCTCAACGCGATGGTCCAGCTCTTCGTGCCATCGCTCTAATGGCTTATAGCAATTGGTTGATTAACCATAATCAGCTTCAAAGAGCCAAGCTAGTCATATGGCCTGTTATTGCAAATGACTTATCATATATTGGCGAATACTGGAACCAAACTGGATATGATTTATGGGAAGAAGTTTTGGGGTCTAGCTTTTTTACCTTACAAAACCAACACCGTGCTTTTGTTGAAGCCGGAAATCTGGCCAACAAGCTTGGTGTTGAATCTCCAGGATATCTCAATGCATTAGAAGCTCTATGTTTCCTCAATCAAAGTTTTTGGAACGGAGAATACATTGTGTCAAATATTAATATCGATAATGGAAGAACAGGGCTAGACGGAGCCTCTATTCTTGGATCGATTTCTATCTTCGATGTTGATGGATCTTGTGATAGTCCAAATTTACAACCTTGTAGTAGCAGAGCGTTGTCTAATTTTAGGGCAGTTGTGAGTAGCTTCCGAATTTATGGTATCAATGCTGGTATCAAGAACAACTCAGGTATCGCTGTCGGAAGATATGCTGAAGATATTTATCAAGGAGGAAACCCATGGTACTTCCCTCCACCCCCTTGCGGCTCATTACTCTTGAGGTTAACTTTCACAGGTACTTACTTACCACTGCTGCTGCGGAATTCCTCTACGATGCTGTTGCACAATGGAAAAATCACAAAAAGCTTACCGTCGATTCAACATCCATTAATTTCTTTCGCGATCTTTATCCATCCATTAAACTTAAGAGTTACACAAATAGGGATAACGAATTCAGTAAAATCCTTAATGTCGTAACAACATATGCCGACTCTTTCGTCGCAATTGCTCAAAAATATACACCCAGTAATGGATCTTTAGCCGAACAATTCGATCGCAATACAGGAGCCCCCATTTCTGCCAATGACTTAACATGGAGTTACGCAGCGTTCGTCACCATGGCTCAAAGACGTTCCGGTCAATATCCTGCCAGTTGGGGAAGTGCAGCAGCATCAGTTCCACCCCCAAATTGCGCGTCTTCATCTTCTCAAGGAGTGTATGTCCCAGCCATCGCAGCAGGGGCTCCAAATGTAACAGCAACATGTCAATATCCAGTTCGATTTTATGTTAATGCCACAACGTATTA